AGAGGCAGCGTTATTGCTCCCAGATGCCGTGCGGGTTCTCTGCGGCCCTTTGATGCATGGCCCGAGTCACCAGACTCCCGTCAACGCGCACGCTACCGCACACACGTACACATGCGCACTGAGACGCGCACGCTCTTGAAACAACATGGATGCCATTAACGACTATCTGCACGGCTTTGCCCGCCAAACTACTTGGAATCTACGATTTGTCTCATGGTGTTAATTGGATATGGTTATGTAAGGTGTTTAATTTTTCTCTTGTCTGTGTGTCTGTGTGTATCTGTGTGTCCAACTCCCTTAGACAGGGTGGTCCCCGCAAGATAGGATGAAAACTTTTGACCCCGCACTTGATAAAAACCAGTATGTGTGTGTTTCTTGTATAGTTATACTTCTGGGGACATAATTTCTTTGTGGGGACACTTTGTCTTCGTGTGGACATTTGACAAGTCGCCACTAGGTGAGAAGGTGCTGTGAGGTTCAAGAATAGGTATGGAGTTGGGATTAGAAAAAACAGGTTAGATTAGGGTCAGGGTGAGGATTACGATTAGCCTTAACTGTGTAATATTAAAGGTTAGGCTAAAGGGCTGGTGTATGTGTAAGTGCTAAAACAAACTGTATGGGGGGTGTATATGAGTGTGTGTGTGTGTGTGTGTGTGTGGGTGTGTGTGTGGGTGTGTGTGAGGTCATTTTTCTTCCACCTTCTAAATGTGTGTTTTAGTTATTCGAGACGTTCCTCTGGACGTGGCAGTAAAGTGCCTTTTATGAATTCAGAAGTGAACTTCCTCTGCCTTTTCATAATTAGCCTGCGATTACTCACTAACAAAACAAAACGATGGAAAGTACTCTGCTCACACTGCTCCAAACGCCACAGGTTAACTACCGAGCACGCTGCCTTTGCTCCTGCATGTGTGTGTGTGAGAGAGAGAAGATTGCATGTGCAGAAAGTTTGAATATCACACATCACATCAGTTTTTCCTAAATAAACCGGTGGATGTGAATGTAAGTCACGCCAGTTCAGCTCAAATGATTGAGCTGTGGTACGGCACAGATTGACCAGAGCCAAAACAACTGGTAAGACGTTCAACTCCACTCTGTCCCAGTTTATTTTATTGGCATCGAACCATATTCTGGTTGTAGAAACATCCTTCAGCGGTTAAAGATTGAGGTGAAATAGTTCTAATAATCATAAAAAAATATTCACCCAGATCAGAGACACCTTTGACCAGGGATCGTAATTTTTTTTATTTTTGTCAAGGCAGAGACACCTTTGACCAGGGATCGTAATATTTTTTTATTTTTGTCTAATGTTTTTCTTGGGCAGTTTGAGCTAACATTTGATGCTTTTAGCTACCTACAGGCTAGCATTTAGCTACTTGTAAAGCTAGCTTTGAGCAGTTTTGGATTTACCTTGTTTATTAAAGAAATCTATTGGATTTCTTTATTCTGGCAAAACTTATTCCTGGGATTTACATTGGACTTTCTAGCTATCTCTCAGCTAACCTGTATCTTTTTGTTTCGCTAACTTTAAGCTAACAGGATCCTAATGATGATGATTTTCTTAGACATAAATGCATCTCTAACAACCTGCCTTATCTGAAATCTTTTGAGACGTGGTTTTATTTGTTAAAGATCTGACTAACTTTTTCAATCATCTGTCTTGGGACTTTTTGACTTCCCTTTGCAGTTCTTTATGTAGTACAGTGCAGTAAACCTCAGGTCAGACCTGGTACAGAGCCAAACTTTTAAAGTTTCACACTGACACATTTTCACCAGCCTTTTAAAGGAATCCACTTCATCAGCAGATGTGTCACGGTCTGAAAGGCTGGAACACCACGGTTCTTCTCGTGGTTACGCGGGACAGATGGTTAAATTTAGCTTATTTGACCAAAGGGAGTCGGTGAGTGAGTGAGAGCGAAGCAGACGCTGACTTTACACGGTAACCTGAACATACATGTGTCACCACTGAAGGAGGAAAAGAAAAGAGAAACCCTGTCTTTAACTGGATTCACCACAGAAACAAGGAAACAACGGTGACATGAAAACCAAAAAAACGAGATGGAAATAAAATTCTTACTAAGAATATAAATAGTTGAACCTGTATCTGTTGTTGCTAATAAAGAGCCGATCAACAGTCCTAGCTAAACGCTGTTAAGATGAGGTCCGGAGAACTCCGCACTAGCTCGACAGACGCAGTACTGACTTGGCGCTGGTCGGTCATGCACATTCAGCAGTAGTTTTCACCTCATGTCTTTACGACGGAGACCCGTGTCTGTGAAAATACTTTCTGTCTCACACTTGGGAAACGAAACATATGCTGATCCAACTACGGTGCTAGGCTTATAAAAAAAACAACCTGTAATTGTAATAAATCCATAACACTATAATACTTTTATTTACCTACTTTAGCTCATTTTGAGAGCGGACCCAAATGACACAAATGGAATTACATTTGGGATTATAATCTTGGGGTCAAATACTGCCTTAATCTCCTTTTGGGATCAATAAAGTATCCATCTATCCATCCATCATCCATCCATCCATCTATACGGCTCAAGCTAACGCTAACACTACATTAGCATGAGACTGTCTGATGTGCAAATCCTGTACATTTGAGGGGGGAAAACACCTGTCAATCAATGCCATTCATAAAGAAGTAACAATAACACTGAGATCATTCTAGATTTTCATGCTGTATAAACATATGTTTGTCAAGATAATAAAATAAAAATGAATCCCAGCCCATGTTTTTAACTGACAAATGGGGATCACAGATACCATGCTCAGTTTTATTTGATTGACAAATCCGTCACATTGTCAGACTTACATTCTGAAGTTAATTATGTTTGGAATATAAATATTATTATATAACTCTCTAGATGTATGTGTGTGTGTGTGTGTGTGTTTGCATGTCAGGCCTGCTCTCTCCGGTGTGGTTGCGTTCGTGCTCTCTCTCTCTCTCTCTCTCAGTCCTGTACTCCTGCCCGCTCACGCTGACTGGCTTTTATGGAGCATATGGGAAAGCGCTCAATCCCCCCAGAATTCCCCAAAGACCTAAAAAAACCCACACATGCAAAGTCGGGCTGATTGACAAAGAGGAAAAAAAAAAACTTGATAATTTGTCCCGAGTGTGTGTCAGAAATCTGTGTGTGTGTGTGTGTGATATTAGGGTAAAATCCTCCCGGCTTCCAGCGTTCTTATCTGTTGTTTTCCCGTCGGCTCCGATCGTAGACCGACATCAGAACCTCCGAGAAATCTTTTCTGACAGTTCTTCAGGAGTTCACTTTGTCTGTACTTCCCCTATATGTGCTCACTCACACACCAGTAAA